ATTACCATTAGATCAAACAATCGCCATGCTATCATTATCTTTTTATAACAATTCTACAAATAGGTCATAGGTGGCTCCTGGATAGGTAAAGGGTTAAAGAGATGTTTTTGTTTTCAAATGATAATCATTCGAAAGAGGAATTTTATGGTGGTATTAAAATGCATGATATGTTCAATATAGGTTGGGGAAGGAGTTTTTCATTTATATTTCGAAATATTGTCTCGCATTTTACTGTTAACTTATGGAGAATAGCTGCTTTTCTCCAGCAATGCGATTCTGTGTAAAATACTTTTCCGTTACACATTTAACATTAACGTTTTTTTCGCAAACACGACTATAATTACTCTGGGAATTATGATTGCGATGATAAATCAGATGAAAATAAAGATAGTTCATAAAGTCAAAAGTATTTCAAGATCTTAAGCATATTCTTCTTTATCCCTATTCTCTCATTCGCTGCGAGTGCTCTGTACTTACTCTGTAAATTGGGTATTTTAATGATTTAGTTCTACTTTAAAAAGGTTCTAAAAGCAGATATAAATCGCAAAAAGTTCGAGTATACAAGTAGTCTACTTGAAGAAATAAAGTACCTTATGTAACAGGCACTTTTGTTCTGGGACTTATTTTATAGAGCTTATATACTTGAATGTGAAATATATTCGTGAAATCTAGCACGAACAACATCTAGCAAACAATGATGCTATTCGGACTAATTCATAGTTGTAGTCTGCACAGAGTGATATTTGTTGCACCGGTGTATTGTTTGTAGACGTCGATATAGGTTTTTATGAAATTCTAGTTGTAAGAAAATCTGAAGTGTAAAATCACGGACATGTGCGGGTTGTGTATACTTCTTATATAGATACCTATAAAGCTTTTGCAGAACTCTGCGGAATATCTCTAATTATCTTGTAGAAGACTGAATCTCAACGATGGAAACTAGAACTTATACAGCTGTATTTTATTATAGTTTTTGACGTTTTCATGTTCAAAATTCTGAAAAATAATGCGAAAAAGTGCTAGATTTCACGAATATATTTCAGATTCGAGTATATAAGCCCTATAAAATAAATTCTAGTGCACACCGGTGCGCATGGCATGCCATCGGTCACTGGCACTGGCTGGCACCGGTACGTACCTGTACCCAGCAAGTGCCGAACCAGTGCCGATATATTTCTGCCGAAGGAGTGCCGCACTGATAATTTATTTAATAAATTTAATTAGTATTTTATTATGGTTGTTTATGCTGAATTTTGTATTAGAATGCGGCACTGATCAGTACCACGTCGACATGCCAAAACCATCGGGCATTGCTTCGGCACTTCTCTTATGAGAAGGAAAAGATGAAGTGAGAAAGACATTCGAAATATTACAAGTAGACTGTGGTGTTAATATAGACTGAAATTAACAAAATGGTGATTGAAAACAAAACTTCAGCACTGGTGCGCACCGATGCGAGATTTTTCATTCTTTCTGGTACCGATGCGCATCGGTGCCCAGAGAAAAAATTATTTCGCACCGGCGTGCACCCGTGCACAACCAGTGCCGATAAAATATTTTTTTGTAAGAAGGTTCATATATCTTTTAATAAAGACTTCCTTCCGTCAGCTATATGGAAGAAGCATACAAGAGAATGAAAAATTTCGCGTTCTTTTTTCACATTTTCGTTTTCTTGTTTTCTTTAACGCGATGAAGAAATGTCTTTAAAAATACAGAAGATTACGATGTACTAGAATACTAGTCACGGCTCTGATGACTGTCTTATATATGTCAGCGTCCAAACTCTGATCCAGGCCAATCTCAGATTGGCCTAGGCCAAATTCCGATCGGAGTTTGAACTAGTCTAAACTCCGATCGGAGTTTGACCCGTAATTTCAGTAGTCCAAACTACGATCCGAGATTCGACTAGGCCAATCTTGGTCGAAAGAAAAAATTCCAGTCCAAAGTTACATTAGACTAACTGTTCTAGTCCAAACTGAAATTAAAACTTTCCTCAGGCCAAACTCAGAATGGACTAGACAAAACAGATATGAAATAGTAAAGTTATAATGTCATTGCAGTACTGCGCGTGCATAACACAACTTAATACTTAACTTCTTAATCTCTCTTGTTTCCTGTCATGGAATATAACGATTTTATTGATGAAATGCAATCGTAATCGAGTCAATCAATGTACAACCATCCTGATAGTAATAATATTGGTAGCAATGGCGTGATTTTGTCAGATGGAAATGATGTGGTGATCGCAGATGATATATCTAACGCAGAAAAAACTTTCTATTCCAAGATTGATGATTACAAAAACGGTTTATCATCGGGTATGCGTGAGCAGACTATGATAACTGTATCATACTATAACAAAATACTTAATGCATTAAAACAAACCACATCTAGAAAAGAAACTGGTGTAAATAGCTATTTCTATGCATGGTGTAAAAAGTTTTTCAGAGTTGATAATTCAACTGGTGTTGATTTACTATGCTCATCGAGAAATGGTACTAGATTGGTTATATTAGAGGCGTATTATACAATTCTAAGAGATGTGCATGAGAAAACTGGCCATGGAGGGCGTGATAAAATGAGCGTAGAGGTAAAACAGCATTATTATTGGATTCCATCAAAAGTGATTAGTATTTATTTATCCACATGTGTTGCATGTCAAATTAGGAAACCAGTTAAAAACCATGTGGTGTCAACGGCAATTGTATCCCTTGGGTTTTTAACAAGATTACAAATAGATCTGATTGATTCAAGAACAAGACCGGATGGTGAATTTACATGGATCCTTCATGCACGAGATCATTTTTCAAAATTTTCATGGGCATATGCACTGGAGACAAAAGAGGCTAAGAATGTGGCTGAGCATCTAACATCATTGTTTTATCAATTCGGCCCTTGTAAAATACTGCAATCGGATAATGGCAAAGAATTCACCGCGCAGGTATTTTGAACACTATTGTCGTTCTTATTTCGAGTTTTATACAACTTCTTTTACGTCGTTCGAAGGCAATCAAAGATTTGAAAATAATATGGCCAGGTTTAGTGATTATTAATGGTAGACCAGGGCATCCACAGTCTCAAGGGCTTGTTGAGCGTGGAAACGCAACTCTATGTGATATACTGGGAAAGTTTTTGCATGATCGAGGGACCGATCACTGGACCCAATGTTTAGGTGCTGTTATATATTCAATGAACACAAGTTTAGCACGGGGTATTGACACAGTTCCTTTTGAAATTATGTTCGATCAGAAACCAAGAGTTGATTTAGCGTTGTGGCAAGTAATAGTGGAACAAGGTATTTCTTTATCCCATTCTACGACTTACGATCTAACACTCTAATTTATAATAATAGGGATGGAGGATAAGGAGGATTTACCAGACACAATTGCTCATCAACTGACAAGTGAGGGAGATTTAACATCTGTCAATAACCAACCAGCTTCATCTGCTACATGTCATTTAAGTACATCCAATAAAACCGATGATGTTATTGAACAGCCACAGTTTGATGAATCTAGTCGAGCAAATCTTGGTTCTCAAAATTCACAACATATGTCCATCAGAGACAGAGCTGACGAGGTATATTTAGCCAATGCTAACAAACGAATAACAGCTCATAATCGGTGCGTTCAACACTTATCAGAAAATTGTGCTGTTGGTGATTTTATTGGAGTCAAGATAGATAAAGTTGACAGAACCATTGCCGATCCAAAACTCTTACCGTGTGTTATTATTGATAAAAAGCATCATGACGTTAAAGTTGCATGTGTAAATGGAATAATCGATCAATGGTGGCCTTTAGAATCATTAGTTCCTTTAACTACGGTACCTCAAGAATTACTTGATTTAAATCTCAGTGAATTGAAAGAAATACCACTAATTACAGCTTCAAAGCTTTTTGTTCGTAATGCTCTCAATGGTGTCACTTGCTCATGCAAAGGTGGTTGCAAAAACAATCAATGTGCGTGCAAGAAAAACAAAGTATTCTGTTCGACAAAATGCCATAAACATACAGCCACCTGTCTAAATCACGAAAAATAAACAAGTCTGTGCTTCAAACTTTTGGTTGGATGTTCTCTTCATTTGTATTCAGTTAAGTATCTCTATAATTAAATAAACTGATATTCAACGCAATCTTAATTATGCACGCGCAGTACTGCAATGACATTATAACTTTACTATTTCATATCTGTTTTGTCTAGTCCATTCTGAGTTTGGCCTGAGGAAAGTTTTAATTTCAGTTGGACTAGAACAGTTAGTCCAACGTAACTTTGGGCTGCAATTTTTTCTTTCGACCAAGATTGACCTAGTCGAATCTCCGATCGTAGTTTGGACTACTGAAATTACAGGTCAAACTCCGATCGGAATTTGGACGCTGACATACATGTAACAATAATAGAGAGAGGAATGTAAAACTACGTGAGGAAATGATACAATAAATGGTACGACAGAAGTGGTGTGATGAAGAAAGAATGTATGACCAAGAGATGAAGGATGTGAACGTGAACAACGTGAAGAAAACGTGAGGAGGTTTTTTCTACCTAACAGATACACACTCGAAAATATGATCGATAATACGTATCAGAAGTGGCAAAACTTTGATTACAGTTAATTGCACCCAATTTTTTCTGAGAGCAATTCTAGGGTCTACCGAGTACCTAGAAATGTTTTCCTGTTCATTCTGCATCTAACCATGTATGTGTCGATGGAATTCAAGCAAGGTCCAATTCCATCAAATAATCGCCCCCGTCCTTTATTTAATTTCCTCAATGAGAATATTAAAGTGACAGTGACGCTTTTAGTCCAAGCAAAGGTACAATACGCCAGTTTTACAACTAAAGATTTTCTTAATATCATTAACTAAAAACATTGAATAGTTGTCTTGCTAATACAGCGTTGCCAGCTAATTCTGCCACCGTAATGGAATTTTCTTAACGTTTTTTCATCATTTTTTTTTTGTTTATAAAGGGTGGCCCAGAAGTCCTGACTCTATTTGAACAATGAATTTTTCTATAGTAAAACAAGTGGTTGTAAATTTGTCTCTATGAAGAAAAGATGCAGTAAAACGCCCTTTACAAAATGGCTAGCGATTGTCCCCGTTAACTCATATAGTAAGAAAGTTGTAAGCTCAGAAACGTTTCTCAGATAACGGGTGCACGATATATAATGTCAGTCTCGGTAATTTTGCTCTAACTCCTGTTTCTTACGCTCCCTATAGCAAATTCTTTTTTTAATAGAAGCGGTGTGAAATTCTCTACAAAATCATACCTAAACCTTAATTTCAGAACTTCAATCAAGAAAACTAAGCAAATTACAGGACGGTGAAAAAATGAAAACTTTGTAAATTTGATACTGTTTTCGACTTGAACTTTTTCTTCTGCTATTATTTCCGTAAAAAAGCTTAGCAAAACTTAGAACTGAGTTTGTGTTCGGTACTTTCAAATGTGCTCTTTCTCGTGGTCTGTAAAAAAGTTTTTTTAGCGGATGGTGTGCTCGAGAATGAAGTTTCAAAAATTGACAATCCCCGTTTCCGACAATGCGCCCAAGCAAGAAGCAGAGGACGTGATCAAAGTTTGATTTTGTAGTTAAATAGAGAAGAGCAATCATTTTAGATCCAAACAAAACCAATTCGATCGAAAAATCTTTTGTTTTGATAGAGTTATGAGACTTTTGCTGAAAGTACCATCATACGAAGAAGGTTCATTGTTGCAAACAGCTGCAGTGCGTCTTAAACTGAAGAAAAAACTGCAATGAACGTTTTAAAACGCGTCTCAACTCTGTAAGATGTCTCATTTTAAAGATTTGACGGAACTACTAACAACTACTTTTCGATTCTACAGTTTAAATGTACGAAAAGTAGTTGCCAATATTTTTATCTGGTCTTTAAAACGCGACACCTTACAGAGTTGAGACGCATTTAAAATGTTTATAGCAGTTTTTTCTTCAATTTAAGACGTATTGCAACTGTCTGCGTCGTTTGATTTACGATTTATAAACAAAATAAAATGGTAAAAAAACGTTATGGAATTCCTTTACGGTAGCAGAGTTAGCTGGCCCCGCCGAATAGAATAATAATTGAAAGTATTCTGCATTATAATCTGTAATAAGCTACGATGTCAATTTGACCTTATCACTGTTTCTTTTTTGTATGTTAGTATTCCTACAGAAATACTTATAATTTTTTTTCTTTTTCTGTTCTCATTCTCCTCTATTCTTCGACTGCGCATTTTACAGTGAATACGAATTCTGTATACAAAACATACAAGCATGGTTTCTAACTGTTTTTCTTTCTTTCCATTGACATATACCACGTTATTCGAATCATCATATGCTTTAGAGATTGACTCTCAAAGAGAGATTTTATAACAATCAGCATTAATATAATAGAATGTGCATGATCAGTAACACACTGTTACGATATGCCATAAATCATACACATGCAGATGATACCAAATACATGTTTGGTTTAAATGTCGATCACTTAGAATGGTCATGCGACATACATTCAAAGTAATGATTATACTCTCTAGTCTTATTCTTATATTTGCATTTATTGTTGTTAATCGCTCTAAATATGTGACACTTACATATGGTAAGCGCTTCAACCCAACGTTGAACACCCATGTACTGATTATTGTTGAATTATTTAGCTGAATGTAATGATGATCCATTAGGTACTAGTCCATATGTTGTTCCTGAAAATCAGTCAATTTTATATTACAATCCAAATGTTCAGTTGAAACCACCTTATTCAACATGTTCATGGGTGCCCGAAGGTTTTACATCAACTCCGAAAATAGATTGTCCACAAGAAGCACAAAATGTCCTAATGCCCAGGATACCCTTAAATTCATGTAAAGATTTAGTGACTTCAACAATGAGGGCACAATCGTTGATTAATAACTCAAATTCAGTAATTTATTTACAAAATGTATCTACCATTCATTGTTCATTAGCATATTTTTCATGTTATACGGATTTGGAAAATGATATTATTCAACAGATGTTAAATAAGTTTAAATGGACCAGTTTTACATTAGCATTCGATGACGTATCGTGTGATGTATCAACGGTAAGCAGCTATCTTGTGGCCGTAGCTGATTCTTTATCACAAAAAACTTTATTCAATTTGGTTCGAAATCTGGAACATTTAATTACGGAAAAAGGTGGTGTCAACATTAAATTACCCCGTCTAGAAACATTTCACATGACTCTTGCTGGTGTAACCTATCAATATTCATCCGATTGTAAAATTGAAGAATTACGAACAAAATTATTACCTACTTTACCCATGAAAAGGCTTGGATCAGTAAGAGTATGCTGTTTTTTAACAAAAAATCCACATAATGGAGATATTACCTACTACTATGCGCAGGATTGTGCACAAACGCTGCCTTGTATTTTTGATATAGAATAAAAGAAAATCTCCAGTAAAAACGAAAAATATTTTGATCAATAAAGATTTCTCCATTCTCTTTAATGCTGGAAAGTTTTTTATCATTTTATTGCTACAAGATTATAGTGTCAAATTTTCGACTTCCGTTTCAAGGTCTAAGAAAAATAACACTCTCCAAAAATCTTTGGCACAAGATTTTTAAGTTTTTGAGATAAAATGATCACCCCAGCAAAAGTCAAGAAAATTTTGGATGTTATAGTTATAAATATTCTCTACAAAACAAAACCATCCCAAATTTGGGGATTTTACTACTAAGATATTTTGTTCAGTTTGTAAAGCACACTTTGAAACCTAGGTATTAAAACTGTTTTTACTTGCCGAAGTTAAGTTTTTACAGAAAAAATTTGGAATTTACTTTGGTAGCTTTCTGCTCATCTTTTAAAATTTCTATAGAAATTTTGCTATTTGAGATGAAACGCTAATTCTTGCGCCAATCGCTCAGGCACATCGAGATGTATCAAAGAAAACATATACATTGTTTTCTGAGGCAGACTGAAATAGCTGAGTTTGATTTAACCGATTAATTTTCGGAGCAAAAAGTATTTCGGAAAAACCTTGAGCACGATTTCGCTTCAGGGAGGCATTTTGGAACATAAGCTTCGGTACAAATGTTGTTCAGAATAAAATTCTACACGGGATTAGGAGCAATGGCGTAACCAGAATTTTTAGACTGCTGAGCCATAGAATCGAAAAAAATCCGCGGGCCTGGGTGGGCCGAACGTTGCCTGCTTGGGCAGGAAATCTTTCCGACTGTTGTCAATTCTGGTAGCGTCGTTTTCAGTGTTACTCGTTATCGTGGCAATTTAAGATTTTGCAATATCATTTGTGGATGAAAACACTGAAAATATTGATCTTTTGAACTGCAGGAAAAAAAACAGTGAAATTTTCATTCAATTTTATCGCGTTTCGAAATTTCAATACCACTTTATTCTTATTTTCCACCGAAAACTGAGTCTGGAAACTGATTTTGAAACTTTTAGAAGTTAAAATGGACTCATCCAGCTATATAGTCATTTACCAAAATCAAAGTTACTGTGGAACAAGCTAACCAGCATATTATACCAGTACACTGCCCACATATTATGGGGAAACAGTTATCGGTACTGTTTGTACGTTTTATCTTTTTTAAAAAATTTTGTTTTGTTCATGCCATCTCCCCTAACTGAGGCTTCTGTATAGAACTTAGTCCTTGTAATATTTATTTTGCCTTTGAGGACACTAGGTGTCAATACGCAACAAAAAACTGTACATCATGTTGAAAAAACGTGCTAAAAGGGAAACTTGTTTCGAGTGCCACTCCTACGAACGTTTTGAGGTTATGATTTTACGTAGTGCTTCGATGACACAAGATGGTGAGACAGCGAAATATCGTCTATGTGATTCCGTACTCCATCTGCCTGAGAATTTGATTAAGTACGTAGGTACTCTAACTCTTGCAGCCGAAGTGGCAGCACCTATTCGAAATGAATGTCCAGAATAATGTAGTGGATTATAGCCTAATGAATCTAATAATCTTCTCAAATGATTGATTAGTAGATAACGATCGAGAATACTGCCGTCCGAGAGGATGAAAAATGCTTTGGACGGAAGATTTAATTTTGTACCAAATGCGAGATATGTGCTCATGAAAGAGAGTGTCATATCACAGTAGGGAGAGAAAATTGAACCATTTAAGGTGTCGCATAGTGTGATTAACAGCCGAAAGGTAATCGGTTTTCTTATTGTTTTAGTTGGACCATGTAGTCGTTCTGCTGCTTTTGGTAACGTACTGATAAAAAACTTTTGAGTACCGTTTGAATGTCGCAAGGGATCTTGTAAACCGGATTTTAATGCTTGGAACCTAACCACAGCTAAGTATAAACGGATTGTGCCTGCTCTTAACTTAAGCGTTCCCGCACAGTAAGCAATGAAATCTTGCAGTGAACGCTCCCCAAGAGGATTATTTTTAACACTGGTGGAATCATAGACATTCAGAAACTTTTCAAACGCTTTCACTCCGGTTACATTCCTTCAAAGTGTTAGGATAGGTAAAAAGCATGACATCTATCTAGTATTTTGGCAAATATTCTATGTGCGTACATGCTTGAGAAGTTTGTCAATAGTTCGTTTTGAAGCGCGGAAAATTCTCCATCTTTCTATGTACGAGCTCAAATGGGTCAAAATCTTCGAAGTCGTACGAAAAATTGGAGAAACAAAGTGGATGACTTTCATTGAGCTACTGACAAAAATGATAAGAAATAATTTTTCAAGTAGATCAGGAGCAATTTTTGAAAGTCAGAAGTGTTTGGAAGTGACCAGGGAAGCCTTTCTGGTCATTTTTACTCAAAATCATATTGGATCATTTTTTAACAGAAACCGTTCCCGTATATAAATTTTAACAGTCCCATATGAGTAATTTTTGACAGTCAGAAGTGTTGGGACCGGATTAGGGAAGCATTTCTGGTCATTTTTACTCAAATCATATTGGACCATTTTCTAGTAGAAACCGTTTCGCGTCCTTTAAACTACTATGTACAGGGAAGCCTTTCTGGTCATTTTTACTCAAAATCTGACGACAGTTCGACTTCCACCAAGCTTTTTGCTAACGATTAAAGTTTACCGCAGAAATATTAAAATATACATTTTATAAATTTTATGATGTACTCGCATTAATCATACATTGTTGAATATCTTCTTCATCTTAGGTTTTCTTTTAGCAATCGCAATAAATGTCATCTATAAAACGGTACGAAGTTTGTTCGATAATTAGGTATTTATGAAAGAATAATATACTTGACTATAAAATAATACAAAAAAAGAAGATTTCTAAAATACTAGAAGTTTTGCCAACCTTAAATATAAACAGTGAGGATCGTGCAGATTCTGTCTGCGTTTTCTAATCAAAGCATATGCCAAGCAAAAAAATTTATTTTTTTAACCATCGTAAGCTAAAATCCCTCAAAAAAGTTTTACTTCGGTATGTAATAAGAGTTAGTGGAGACAACCACAACTGTTATCAATTTAACTTCTATCAGTCATAGGTTGAAGTTGATGCCATTGTGTTACTGGTTCGGGTTCTTCTGCTAACATATTCTTCCAATGTTCTAATCCTGTTCCAACCGCATTAGGTCCCAAAACAACTTTTCCTAAAAAATACATATCTAACGTAAGATTAGTCAGTTCTTAACTTATATTTGTTAAATGGACAATTAATACGGTCTCAAATCCTCAACAGGATTGCATCACAGATTGGATATATTTAATCATGCTATTGCTTATTTGCTAACGGAGATACATAGAATTTTGTTTTGAAAAATTCTATGCGGCGGATCCCTAAATCTAGACTCTAACTCTATCGATAGTTGATACAGTTTTTATCCTATTCTTTGTAGTTTAGATATATTTTAGGAATAGCATCACAGTTTTCTTCAATAATGACTTTTCAAACTGATCTTTATTAGCCCAAAATCATATAACAGTATAGACTATGTAATAAAGCGGATGAAAACAAACGATATGTTACCGATTGGTTCTGAACTTCCAACGTAATCATGGTCGACCACTGAGACTATTAATTTCACATTCTATAATAAAAAATAAGATTTTAATAATGAGAATAAAACATAGTGACATGAAAAAAAAATTTAGCGACAACAAAATCCGTTAAACATTATTAAACTAAGACTTCCTCAATCCGAAGTCATTTTTCGCTCCTTGTCCGCTCTTGGTAAATATTTCAGAGAAAAGTAACCATAAAAGTAGATTTGTTCACCAGTTTGGGAGTTACGATGTAAACTGTAGATGAAGAATTTCACAATTTTAGTTAGTGAAATTGATTCTTCTAGTGGAGATTTTATTTGCAAGAGTGCGGTGATATAAACTACAATCAATGTTTAATTGACTACTGTCACTTTTTTCGTAGAAAATAGCTACAGATCTGTTGTATGCATCATCTTTCCCACAAGAATTTTCTTTTTTTTCCACTTTTTTCAGACACTTACAAATAACATATCACCAGAAAAAAAAATAAAGTTGGTCTTGAGTTACTTTTTCGTATTCAGAACACTCGAAAACCCAGAAGATTTTCTATTTCTGGCGAGAAATACTTCCAAAAGTTCAGGAAAAATTTTGAAAACAAAATGGCGCAAAAATATTTCCATGGGAAAATAATATGATTTTGTAAATCTTTCTTGAACTTTTGGAAGTACACCTTGCAAAAAATAGAAAATCTTCTGGGTTACCGAGTGTTCTGAATACAAAAAAGCACTTTTCAGCAACTCAAGACCAACTTTACTTTTTTTTCGGTGATTTTTTTGCCACTAAGAGTGTTACACGAGTGACTCCGCGACCGTTACTCGCAGCCGTAAATAGGAAGTCAACTTTGGGAGGGGAGGGGATGTAAAAATTTTATAAGCAGCAAAAAATTCTTTTCGAAGGATGTAGGAAAACAAATTTAGTTTTTGCTGGGAGGAAAGGACAGATTTTTAGTTTTGGGGGTGTTTGCACCCGTCCACCCCGCAATTTACGGCTCTGCTGTTATCCCTAAACTCCTCTCCGCTATAACAGAAGGCCAGTCTGGAGCGAAAAGTTTTGAAGAACGGCTAGGGCAGTTCTTCACCAAAAACAGGGTGATGTGCAAAACCATAATAGGAGGCCATGGCCTTCTATTCTGGGGAGGAGGGTTATGAAAAAACGACTACTTTTTCTTTGAATATTATATAAATATGCTGAAGCATATCCTTCTACATAAGTCTGCCAGATTAAGCATAATCGATAACCATTGTGTCTACATTGGCTGCATGAAAAATATGAGTGAACTTTTAGTTTACAGAAAATCCTTTTTTAACTAGGTCTTCCAGAGACCTTCATAGAAAACTATCAAAAATCTTTTAGTAAGCAGTAAAACTAAGTTATACGGACGAAAAGACTCGAGTTTATCTAACCGTATATTTTTCTCAAAAATGATTATTTTAACACTTACCAACTTTTTGAAAGTAAACCTTTAAGAGTAAATCAGGTGAAATAATAAAAAATTATTCAATCTTACTCTAATTTATGCTGAGGAGAGGGAAGCACTATTTCATCTTATAAATTTCTTGTTTTGTTTTTCAATTTACCGTAATTTGTGATGGTGATATGTCGAATGAAAATGTTTCATTATAAGTTGGTTCCAACGTTTTAGCTCTCACTGCTGTTTTCACTTTTTTCAATCTTTTTTCACCAGACATCAATGATACTTTGACGTATGGATCTGTTGAAAAATAATTAAAGAATAGAATAAAACAATATTTACTACCAATAATAATTGCAACTGTGACATTCAATCAATAAATATTGAATGAAGAATACGTATATTGATCGTTCACGGAGACAGTACTAAGTCATGCTCGGCCTTGTCACACAGCCACAAAGACTATGTATAAGAATTGCCATGGCACAGCTGTATTACTTTAGTAGTAGATATAACGAGCATGATTATTAACAACAATATCCTTTAATTAACCTTTAATCATTGAAAAGTATTTGTGAAATATATACCTGATAAACCTACAAGATCCATTTTTTTTAAATCTTTTGCTTTTAGAATTGTAATATATAATGTGGAAACTGCTGAGTCATACTTTAAGGTACAATGTACAGAGCCAAGTGTGTGGATCTAAAAGTAAAGATTTTTCAATCACTAAGCTAAAAGATTGAGTTTGAATAGCTAATATTTTCATTCATTCTATTTTTCTCTGCTACTCATTAAAAAAATGATATTATGAGTAAGTATTGTACACGTTAAGCTTCATATTTTGAACGTTCATGAACGTGACTTTCAGGCTTAGTTAAGCAATAAATTTTAACAAATACTTGATATAGCACTGTAAATAATTATTAGTAGATAAACATTGATATCCAAAATAATTCAAGTTTGAAGGGTATAATATTAATTTAGTCAATTTTATCCTTTATGAATATTTGTATAAAATGTAAGTATCCACTGACACAGATCTTTTTATTTCGTATCCATGGTGAAAAGAAATTTTTCTTACTTTAGAGCCGCGATATAAACTCATATTACATACCAGGCGAATGTCTATAAAAAATTCTCTAGAAAACTACTACTTTGCAGTTCTTGTTACTGTTTACATTTTCTGAACGAACTAACAAGAAACTGCAATAACTTCTTCGTTTTAGACTTGGTAATTAGGATTATTCATCATGAAGCAAGCATTTCTCAGAGTTGAATCTCGATACAATAATACAGAAAATTCGGTTTTCAAAACTTTTTCTGTAGACACAATGTTCGCAAACGCTCCCTTCATACTGAAAAATCAAAAATAATAAACAAAATCGCATTTTCATCCTAAAGAAAGTTTTTCTTTCGTGCTAACGAAAAAACCTATCGACATATACCACTCCGCTTTCATTCATTTGATACGTCGATCGATAGAGGATATCGAGGTTGTAAAAAGCTAAAAAGGATTCGGGCCGACGGCTTTTCCTTCAAAAGCTAGAGGCATTTGTCTGCTTTTCCGAGCGAAAAATAAACAAAATAGAAAAATTCATATCTCCGTCCACAACAGTAATTAACAACTCAAATTTCTTTCTATGACTCTTCCATATATATCTGTGATATTCATACAAAGTTCACTTTTACAACTCATCCCATTCCCGAGATACTGAATTTTAAATTTTCGATAGATCAACCCCTTGACAGGCTCACACTATAATAGCTTCCCCAATCATTAGTTAACTACTAGAACTGTTGAAAAATTTCGTAAATGACATGGTTTCGATCAGCAGACAGAAAACTAATCGAAATTATATAACTTCAATGTTTCGCAACTCTAGTTTCTAGGGAGGTCTATGTAGACCCCAGCTTCTACAGCCAGCTTGAGAAATCTGTTTTGTTTTCATAAACGAAATTAGACTACAAAACCATACCATTTATGAAACTTTCAATAGTTCTAGTAGAAAACTAATGATTGGGGAAGCTATTATTGTGTGAGTCTATCAAGGGGCTAATCTATCGAAAATTTAAAATGCAGTAACTCCGGAATGGAATGAGTTGTAAAGGTGAACTTTATATGAATATCACAGATATATATGGAAGAGTCATAGAAAGAAATTTGAGTTGTTAATTACTGTTGTGGACGGATATATGAATTTTTCTATTTTGTTTATTTTTCGCTCGGAAA